ATACAACAAAAGCAACAACAACAAGATTACATTTGTATAGCGCCTTTCACGTTGGGAGGACGTCCCAAGGCGCTGGACAGAGGTCAGTATTTCAGTATCTGGACAGAAGACAGTATTTGTGAATCGGCTGCAAAGTGAATTGACTGTATATTTGTGGGTGAAATGTGGGAACCAATTGCGCACAACAGTGTCCCACAAACAGTCGTGGGTTGAAATGGCCAATTTATTATTTCTTTGAGGGGTTATTATCAGGTGTGTGGAGTAAGGACTCCCCGTAGCTTAGGTTAGGGTAGAAGATCAGCCATGATCTTATTAAATGGCGGGGCAGGCTGGAGGGGCTGAATGGCCTACTCCTGCTCCTACGTCTTATGGTCTGATGGCTTGAGGACCCCACACAGTGACTTGGGTTAGTGCCGGAGGTTAACAGCTAAACCCCATTGGTTGCCATGGAGATTACCACCGAGGGTTGGTTCCGTGCTGACTTCCTGTTGCCAGGTATGTCACCTTGAAGCCCGTTGGGGTCTAAGGAGACCCCACGTCCCCCTCCCCCCCTCCCCCCCAGCAGGCACATGGTTTCCCAGGTTCTGCCCTTATTTGGTAACCAACCTGGTGGCTAACTTGCTCGGTAATGCTCCCATTGTTTGGTACCCAATACAGCTGCTGGTCACCAGTTTGGGGCTTGTGTTGCTGACACGGCTCGACAACAGGTTTGGTCGCCAGATGTTGTTCATGAGCCACATATAGAGAGAGACCCATCACTGGGCTTGAGATCCATGGATGTCCCTCAACTTGGAGATTGCTGTGTGTGGGATGGGATGTGTGGCCTCTTAACAGAGTCGCTTTCTCACTCCATCTCTCTCTGTCTCTCTCTCTCTCTCTCTCTCTCTCTCTCACTCTCTTCTCTCTCGCTCTCTCTCTCTCTCTCTCTCACTCTGGCTCTCTCTCTCGCTCTCTCTCTCTCTTCTGGCTCTCTCTCTGACTCTCTCTCTCGCTCTTCTCCTCTCTCTCTGGCTCTCTCTTCGCTCTCTCTCTCTCTCTCTCTGGCTCCTCTCTCGCTCTCTCTCTGGTTCTCTCGCTTGAGCTGTCTCTCACTCTCTCTCTATTTCTCTCGCTCACTCTCTCGCCTGAGCTCTCTCTGACTCTCTCTTTCGCTCTCTCTCCCTCTCTCTCTCTCTTGCACTTTCTGTCGCTCTCTAACACTAACTCTATCCAGAATTCTGGGTTGTCCTGGAATTGGCCAACTGTTAACCAAAGAAAAATCGCAAAGGCGCATGGACTTGTTCAACTTCGACAAGTTACTGCTTGAAAGCCAAGGCCTCGAGCAGAGAGCCCAGCAGAGCGAGGACGTACCTGAGTGAGGACGGAACAAAGTGGGAATTCTGTGCAGGAATTTGGTGAGAGTGGGAATTCTTCAGCGAAAGAGATGCTGGAGAGCAAGAGAGAAGTCTTGAGAGACTCCAGGTAATGAGAGTAATGAGAGACTCCAGCAGCAGATTAACCTGGTAAGAGAGAGTGAGTCAGTGTGAGAGGGTATATGTCTCCCTTTATGTGTGTGTGTCTCTCTGTCTGTGTGTCTCTGTGTGAATGTCTCTCTCTGTATATGTCTCTCTCTGTGTATGTCTGTGTGTGTGTGTCTCTCTCTGTGTGTCTCTCTGTGTCTCTGTGTGTGTCTCTGTGTGTCTCTGTGTGTGTCTCTGTGTGTCTCTGTGTGTCTCTGTGTCTCTGTGTGTCTCTGTGTGTCTCTGTGTGTCTCTCTGTGTGTCTCTGTGTCTCTCTGTGTGTCTCTCTGTGTGTCTCTGTGTGTCTCTGTCGTGGTGTCTGTTATCTCACAGATCAGATCGATTTCAAGAACCTCTCACTTGTCTACAAATCGGTGGCCACTCGAGTCGCGACCTGAAGATGGGGAAGGAGGGGGCGAGGGGTTGAGGGGGAGAGTTCCAGAGTTTCGGGTGTAGTGGCTGAAGGCACGAGGATTCCAGCCGTGTGTGTGTGTGTGTGTGTGTGTGTATTTTTTTGTGTGTGTGTTTCTGTCTGTGTGTGTGTATGTGTGTGTCTGTGTGTGTATCTGTCTGGATGTACATGCGTGTGCCTGTTTCTGTGTGTGCGCATCTGTATGTGTATGCGCGTCTGTGTGCATGTGTGTGTGTCTGTCTGTGTGTGTGTCTGTCTGGGTGTGTATGCGTGTCTGCGTATGTGAGCATCTGCGTGTGTGTGTGCCTGTTTGCGTCTGTGTGTGTCTGCATCTGTGTGTGCATGTGTGTGGTGTGTGTGTGTCTGTATGGTGTGTGTGTCTCTGTGTGTGTGTTTATGCACGTCTGTGTCGTGTGTGTGTCTGTGTGCGTGTGTGTCTATCTGTGTGTGTGTCTGTCTGGGTGCGTATGCGTGTCTGCGTGTGTGAGAGTCTGCGTGTGTGTGTATCTGCATCTGTGTGTATGTCTGTGTGTGCATTCTGTGTGTGTCTGCATCTTGTTGTGTGTATGGTGTGTGTGTGTCTGTTATGGTATGTGTGTTCTCTGTGTGTGTGTGTGTATGCACGTCTGTGTGCGTGTGTGTGTGTGTGTGTCTGTGTGTGTGTGTGTGTCTGTATGGTGTGTGTGTCTCTGTGTGTGTGTTTATGCACGTCTGTGTGCGTGTGTGTGTCTGTGTGCGTGTGTGTCTATCTGTGTGTGTGTCTGTCTGGGTGCGTATGCGTGTCTGCGTGTGTGAGAGTCTGCGTGTGTGTGTATCTGCATCTGTGTGTATGTCTGTGTGTGCATGTCTGTGTGTGTCTGCATCTGTGTGTGTATGTGTGTGTGTGTGTGTGTGTCTGTATGGTATGTGTGTCTCTGTGTGTGTGTGTATGCACGTCTGTGTGCGTGTGTGTGTGTGTCTGTGTGTGTGTGTGTCTATCTGTGTGTGTGTGTCTGTCTGGGTGCGTATGCGTATCTGCTTGTGTGAGAGTCTGCGTGTGTGTGTGTCTGCATCTGTGTGTATGTCTGTGTGTGTATGTATGTGTGTGTGTGTCTGTATGGTACGTGTGTCTGTGTGTGTGTGTGTGTGCGTGTGTGTGTCTGTCTGTGTGTGCATGCATGTCTGTGCGTGTATATGTCTGTGTGTCTGAGGTGTCTTCTGAGTGTCTATTGTGTCTGTCTATGTCTGTCTGTGTCTGTGTGTGTATCTGTCTGGATGTATATGTGTGTGTCTGTCTCTGTGTGTGCGCATCTGTGTGTATGCGCGTCTGTGTGCGTGTGTGTGTGTCTGTCTGTGTGTGTGTATGTCTGTGTCTGTATAAGTCTGTGTGTGTCTGTATGTGTATATATATGTCTATGTGTGTGTTTGTGTGTGTGTATGTGTGTGTGTGCGTCTCTGGTGTGTGCATCTGTGTCTGTGTGTCTGTGTGTGTGACATTCTTCCAACGTGAAATGCGCTATAAAAATGTAATTTTGTTGTTGTTGTTCTGTGTATGTGTGTGTGTGTGTATGGTGTGTGTGTGTCTGTGTGTGTGTCTGTATGGTGTGTGTGTGTCTGTGTGTGCGCGTGTCTCTGTGGGTGTACGTCTGCGCGCGTCTGTGTGTGTGCATCTGTGTGTTTGCGGGTCTGTGTGGGTCTGTATGTGTACGACTGTGTGAGTGTGGGTGTGCCTGCGTGTGTGTGTCTGCGAGTGTCTGTGTGTGTATCTCTGTGTCTGTAGGTATCTGTGTGTTCTGTGTATGTGTGTCTGTGTGTGTGTCACTGTGTTTGTATGTGTGTCTGTCTGTGTATGTTTGTGTATGTCTGTGTGTATGTCTGTGTGTGTCTCTGAGTGTGTTTCTGTGTGTGTCTGCATGTGCGTGTGTATGTCTGTGTTTGTATGTCTGTGTGTGTGTGTTTCTGTGTGTGTGTATATCTGTGTGCGTCTGTTTCTGCATATGTGTGTGTGTGTATGTGACTCTGTCCCTGGTAATGGATTCCAGTACTTTCCCTACAACTGGCATTATACTGACAGGTCTGTAATGTGCTGGTTTCTCCCTCCCCCCCTTCTTAAATAAAGGGGTGCCATTGCAATTTTCAAAACTAAGGCCACAATTCCTGAATCTACTGATATTTGGAATCTGCAATTTCCTCTCCTATTCCCGTTAACACCCTGAGGTGGAAACTAAACTGGAGATTTGTCTATCTTGACTCATTATTTTCTCCATTGCCTTTTTTTTATTGTGGTATTAATTTTATTGAGCATTTCTCTTTGACTTATCTCCTCTGTACGGCTGGTATTCTGTCCTCATCCTCTCGTGTAAAAACGGGAGCAACGTATTTATTTAGCAAGTCAGACATTTCCTTTATTTTCCGTTTATAGTCTCACCCACATCTGTGTTTAACGGACCCACATTCCCTTGACCGTTTCTTTTAATATATTTATAAAAAGATTTTACTGACGCTCCTCTTCTTATTTTCTTTGTTTTATTATTAATATTGGTGGCGGGGTGGGGGGCCTTCTGCCAATCTGCCCCCCACAGTCCCTCCCAGCCTCGCCACTTCCCTTGCCATCGTCAAGATGCGTCTCAAAGCCCTCCCCTTCGCCCGTGCTTTCGATCTCCCTCCTTCCACCCCCCCCACCCCCCTCCCCGGCTCCGATCCCCAGCTCAGGTCCGAAACACTGACCGTCCAGCGCCTCGGGACGTCCTCCCGACGTGAAGCGTAATGAAGTTGTTGGCGTCTCCCCGTGTTGCCTTTTGTAGGTCTCCCAAGTCCTCTGCATTCCCACCGCCTCCGAGTAAACCTTTCCTTGTAGCTCGACGCAGTCTCCAACCGCTCGTGACCACCGCTCGCGGTTGCTTAACTGCACGACTGGAGCTGTTGCAGTCGAGGGTTGTCCGTGTACTTGTTGTGTAGCGTCTCAAATGGTGTTTGTGAATCCTTCCCATTGTTCAGGTTGACCCACCGTCCCGGAGTGAGTGTGTGAGCGAGTGAGTGAGCGAGTGAGTGAGTGAGCGAGTGAGCGAGTAAGTGAGTGAGTGTGTGAGTGTGTGCGAGTGAGTGTGTGAGTGAGTGAGTGAGTGTGTGAAGATGGGGACTCTCCGTGGGCTGAAGGCTGTTCTGATTGACATCAGCGGGACACTGCATGTGGACGACAAGGCCATATCAGGGGCCCCAGAGGCTCTGAGGCGGTGAGCACCACCTACCCCCCCTTCCCACACACCCCCCCCCCTCGTAAAGTCACTGGTGTGTGTGTGCGTGAGGGGGGGTAGGGGGTGAGGGGTGGGTGTTGCGACTGAAAACTAGACCTAATTTTCAACCAGGTGGGATTTCGGAATGTAATCCGGTCAAATTCCCCCCTCCCCCCCATTACAGCGTGACGGGATTCCTAATCTCAGACCCCCCCCCAACCCCCGCCCCCCACGCATTGTAACAGCACCTACCTAGCCAGTCTCGAAGCGCTTCACAGGATATACCGTAAGGTGGAGTGACTGTGTATCTCGTGGCCGAAACGTGGCAGCCCGATTGCTGAAGTGACGCCGGTTCCTGGGGCGAGGAACCGTTTCCCTCGCGATAAACCGGGGGCGGGTTGTCGTGGCTTCAAATAACATTCATAACCTGTCCCAACTGATCACCAAAGCGCTTCAGCGAGATTATATCAGGTCTAGCTCAGCCGCTGTCTCTCTCTCTCTCGCTCGCTCGCTCTCGCTCTTGTGTTGGATGCAATAATAATCCTTACACTTGATACGGCGCCTTATCACGTCGTCGAGACGTCTCAAAGCGCTTCACGGGATATACTGTAAAGTGGAGTGACTGTACTTTGTGGGTGAAACGCGGTCCTAGCTGGACAAGCGGCAGGAAAGCTTGCCGGACGTGTATGGATCAACTCGCCCTGATCTCTCGCTCTCTCTCTCTCGCTCTCTCTCGCTCTCGCTCGCCAGGTTGCGCGAGGCTGCTCTTGCCGTGAGGTTCGTGACGAACACCACGAAGGAGAGCAAGCGCTCGCTCTGTGAACGGCTGCAGCGGCTGCGGTTCGAGCTGCGGGAGGAGGAGATCTTCACGTCGCTGTCAGCGGCTCGGGAGCTGGTGGCGGCCAAAGGGCTGCGGCCACTCCTGCTGGTGTCTGACAGCGCTCTGGAGGACTTTCGGGGTGAGTGGAGAGAGGGGGGGGGGGGGGGGGGGGGTGGAGACCGAGTGTGCCTGTGGGTGTGTAAGTGACTGTGTGTGTAAGTGTCTGTGTGTGTGTGTAAGTGTGTGTCTGTGTAAGTGTGTGCGTGTGGGTGCGGGTGTCTGTAAGTGTGTGTAAGTGAGTGTGTGTGTTTCTAAGTGTGTGTGAGTGTGTGGATAAGTGTCTGTGTGTGTTATGTGTGTGTCTGTGAAGGGTGTGTGTGTACGTGAGTGTGTGTGTGTACGTGAGTGTGTGTGTGTCTGTGTAAGTGTATGTGTGTATGTGTCTGTAAGTGTGTGTAAGTGAATATGTGTGTGTAAGTGAGTGTGTGTGCAAGTGTATGTGTGTGAGTGTGTGTGTGAGGAAACTGGACTGAATTTTCAACCGCATGGGATGTTGGTACCTTTCTATCTCATCGAAATTCAGGTTGGATGTGTCCCCCCCCCCTCCTCCCCTCCCCTCCGGCTCCCATTACACTGTGACATGATTCCTAACTTCAGAGCCTCCGGTGAGGAAGCGACACTGTCTCTCACTAAAACCTGGTGACCACAGCGTGTGAGGAGATACGTCTCGAAGCCTGTGGCTGAGTCGCTTCCCTGGCTCAGGAGGGCGTGGGTTCAAGCGGGGACTTTGAGCTCACAGGCACGGCTGGGTTGGGCTGGGTTGTGCTGTGCTGGGCTGTGCTGTGCTGGGCTGGGCTGGGCTGGGCTGTGTTGGGCTGTGCTGGGCTGGGCTGGGCTGTGCTGGGCTGGGTTGTGCTGGGCTGGGCTGGGCTGGGTTGTGCTGGGCTGTGGGCTGGGTTGTGCTGGGCTGGGCTGTGGGCTGGGTTGTGCTGGGCTGGGCTGGGCTGGGTTGTGCTGGGCTGTGGGCTGGGTTGTGCTGGGCTGGGCTGTGGGCTGGGTTGTGCTGGGCTGGGCTGGGCTGGGTTGTGCTGGGCTGTGGGCTGGGTTGTGCTGGGCTGGGCTGTGGGCTGGGTTGTGCTGGGCTGGGCTGTGGGCTGGGTTGTGCTGGGCTGGGCTGGGTTGTGCTGGGCTGGGCTGTGCTGGGCTGGGTTGTGCTGTGCTGGGCTAGGCTGTGGGCTGTGCTGTGCTGGGCTGTGCTGTGCTGTGGGCTGGGCTGGGCTGTGCTGTGCTGGGCTCGGCTGTGCTGTGCTGGGCTGTGCTGTGCTGGGCTGTGCTGTGGGCTGGGTTGTGCTGGGCTGGGCTGTGCTGGGCTGGGTTGTGCTGTGCTGGGTTGTGCTGGGCTGGGCTGGGTTGTGCTGGGCTGGGTTGTGCTGGGCTGGGCTGTGCTGGGCTGGGCTGGGTTGTGCTGGGCTGGGCTGTGCTGGGTTGTGCTGTGCTGTGCTGTGCTGTGGGCTGTGCTGTGCTGTCCTGGGCTGTGCTGTGGGCTGGGCTGGGTTGTGCTGGGCTGTGCTGGGTTGTGCTGTGCTGTGGGCTGGGCTGGGCTGGGCTGTGCTGTGCTGTGCTGGGCTGTGCTGGCTGTGCTGTGCTGGGTTGTGCTGTGCTGTGCTGGGCTGGGCTGTGCTGGGCTGGGCTGTGCTGTGCTGTGCTGGGCTGTGCTGGGCTGTGCTGTGCTGTGCTGTGCTCTGGGCTGGGTTGTGCTGGGTTGTGCTGGGCTGGGTTGTGCTGTGCTGGGCTGGGCTGTGCTGGGCTGTGCTGTGCTGTGCTGTGCTGTGCTCGGGCGACATTGCATTGTTAGATGCGACGTCCGTCAGATGTAACGTGAAACCGAGCTCCCGCTTGTGCGCTGCGGACGGTAAAGATCCCATAGCACTCCTGGTGTGTCCTTGTGGCTGTGCTCTGGTCAGGAACCTCAGTGTAGTTCACTGGTTAGAGCACTCGCCTTGCAAGCGAGAGACCCGGGTTCAGTTCCCGGCAGGATGAAATGTTGGGCAAGTTACTATTATTATTATTATAAGCATCACTCCTGTTTCTGAGTCAGCCTCAGTTTACTCAGCAGTAAATAGGAACCCAGTTATTGATCGATTGGCGGATCACTTTTCTGGGGGGGGAATAATCCCTTCAAAATAAATTTTAAAAATAATTTGGTCACTTCAATCCACGAGGGTTTGTGCAATTGGCTTTCGTATTCCACCCACAAAGTACACAGTCAGTCCATTTTACAGTCTATTCTGTGAAGCGCTTTGAGACGTCTCGAAGATAAGATGAAGTGCTGTACGATAATAATAATAATAATCCTTGCATTTGATATAGCGCTTTTCACGTCTTCTCGACGTCTCAAAGCGCTTCACAGAATAGACCGTAAAGTGAATTGACTGTATATTTGTGGGCGAAACGCAGCAGCCAATTGCGCACAGCAATGTCCCACAAACAGTCGTGGATTGAAGTGACCAAATTATTATTGTTTTTTTTCTTGAGGGATTATTATCAAGGTTGCCCAAGGTTTCGTCCCGCCAGGAATCGAACCCAGGTCTCTCGCTTGCGAGGCGAGTGCTCTAACCATGAGCTACGGGATAACGATTGCTCAATCACACTCCTCGCTGGTCTCCCGGCTCCCAGAATAGCTCCACCATTCAAAAGATCCAACTCGTTCAGAACTGCCGCCCAGATACTGACCCCGTCCCCACATCTCACCAGCTCTGCCCCAGGCTCCACTGGCTCCCCATCACCGAACAGATCGACTTCAAGATCCTCACTCTCGTGTTCAAATCCCTTTACTCCCTGGCACCTCCCTCCCTCCCTCTCCGACCTCCTCACTCCCCAATCCAACACCCGGCACCTCCGCTCGACTGGCACCGGCTCCTGCTCACCCCCCTCACTCCCTGCCCCACCATCGGAGGTCGCGGTTTCAGTCTCTCTACCCCAAAGCTCTGGAACACTCTCCCTCAATCCCTCTCCCCTTTTTCAAGTCCTACCTGAAGACCTTCCTCTTCGACCGTACTTATGGCCCCCGCACCCGCCCCCATCCCAGCTCGGAGTCAGGCTCCGCCACTGTTAAGCGCTCTGAGGCACTAACCTGTGTGGGGGCAGTTGTTATTGCATATCAAATGCAAGGATTATTATTATAATAACCTGTGAGATGTTTTTCAGGGCTGGACACTAAGGAGCCGAATGCAGTGGTGGTTGGCCTGTCACCTCCTCACTTTGATTACAACACAATGAACAAGGCGTTCAGGTGAGTGACTGAGGAGCACAGCCCACACTCCGCACCAGTTTACCTGCCCTGCCGCAGCACTGTAGGAACTGGAGTCCTGCCGTGTAGCAGTTAGAGCACTCGCCTCGCAAGCGAAGAGGACCTGGGTTTGATTCCTGGGCAGAGCCAAACCTGAGGCAAGTTTCCTTACTCCACACGCAGTAATCAGGAACCCAGTTCTTCGTCGATTGGTGGATCGTTTTCCAGGGGTACGGTGTATTCTGTGAAGAGCTTTGAGAGGTCTCAATGACGAGCTAAGACGCTGTATCAAATACAAGGTTTACTTCTATAAATATCCCTCTTGTTTGTGAGTCAGAAGCTTGTGGGTTCAAGCTTCATGTCAGGACTTTAGAGCTCGCAGTCCAGTCCCTCTGAGAGTAATCCCCCAGCGCTGCACTGGAGTCAGAGACGCCATCCGTTAGATGAGACATAAACTGAGGTCCCCTCTCTCTCTCTCTCCCCCGATGTCCTGGTCAATAATCCCCCGGATCGTTCACTTCATGGCTGTTTGTGGGACGTTAGTTACTGTGCAAAATAACAGCAGCAGATTACACGGAGCCTCTCACGTCGGGAGCACGTGCCGAGGAGCTGGACGGTAAATGGTTTGCGCCCGAGCTGAGGGTTGGAATAAAGAGGGTTGTGGGGGGTGGGAGTAAGAGCGAAACTGCAGTCAAAGAGGATGGTCT